AAGACTGACAATGATCAATCTTGAATCGCTCGGCGTGGTGGTGGCATGAAAGTGTGCATGCAGCACAGGAGGGCTAGGAGGTTGGGTTGCCACCGGGGGACCCGGACCTCCATTCCAGCCAGTAGGGCGCCCCGCACCTACTGACCCTGACCGTTTTTTGGCTGGTCAGAACTCACGGGCTCGGCATCGACATGCGCAAGCACTGGAGCTGGCGCGCGGCACTCCGCCGCGCGATGACCGACCTTCCGACAGCGGAAGCAGGTGAGAGAACGATTGTTCCGAGCACCGCTCTGACGCGCTGCATAACGCTGACGATTGCTCGTCGCATCGATAGCGTCGATGTCCATGGGCTCGGGCGCAGAATCCCGAGCAGAAGCAGGTAGCGCGTGAGCGTATGACGCCGCAACCACGTAGTCCTCGCGTAGGGCGAGGGCGAATGCCTCTTCGAGCGTAGAGGGGTCCGATCTTGTAAGGCAGTAGCGCGTCATGCCTTCGCGCATACCGAACACGAATACATGAACCTGAGAGGCCATATCGATCGGCTTAGACACGATGCACGACGCGAGGTGTCGTGTCTTCTGGACGTAGTCGCGCATAGTCATCGTGCCTTGCCGAAGGGCGAAGAAGTCTGCCCGAATTCGGGATTCATCTTGCGGCGGCTCGAACGCGAGCCGAAGGTCACTCTGGAGGGTATCCAGAGTGGGGAAGACGTTGGGATCGACAACCAACTTGCCGAGAGCCCATTCCTTGGCTTTCCCAGACAGCCTCGAGAGGAGGAAATGGACCTTCGCGGAAGGCGCCTCGATCAACCTCGAGGCGATGGCGATGTCGATCTCTCGAAACCAGCGATTCAGCGGAAGTCGATCTGTTCCGGCACCGGAGTAGGTGGACGTCTCTAGCTTCACGACGTCATTCGTGGAGATACGCGAGGGAGTTGACACTCGCCGATTCGCATCGGCGAGCTCGCGTTCCATGAATTCTTGTGCCGCAACGCGCTGCTCGTCGGGCGTCGCTGAGCGCAGCAGCGACGTGACGACGGCTTCTCCGGACACCGCCGCAAGGCGGTGGAGAGCTTCCCACTCGATCCGAGTGAGATGGAGAAAGGCAGCGTGGTCGAGGTCTTGGCTCATGTCGAACTTGGTCGTTGGAAGGACTACAAAGTGCTACCAGGTGTAACGGCCCAGGTATTTACTCCGTTACTTGCTTACACTATAGTGTTGAGGAAGCTCGCAATAGGACGACTGAGTCTTAGGTTTTAAGGAAAAATCAACTCTGACTTTATTTTAGGACCAAGGCCACAGCCCTGGCCACTCAAATACACGTCATAGTCCAATTGGCTAATAATGGGTCTGGCTCCCCATATATCAGCCAATGGCATGACAGCATTTCTGCACACGCTAGTCGTGTGCTGATGTACCTACTTTTGTAAAGAAATCTTATGTAATGGAGGGGCCCATTACAACTGCGGTGAAGACGACGGTCACTTCAGCTTGAGCCGTTTGTTTTGCGATGTAGACATCGCGATAGAAGCTTGGCAGATTTCATATGAGCTCGCTCGTATGCGCTTCCTGCTTTCCACGTTGATAGGTAAGGCGAAGGCACGGAAACTCGGCAAGCTTGCTGCCGACGCTAGCTCCTTCCAGCCATAATTTTTATAAAGTTCGACCTGTGGATTGCGTTTAAGCCGCCCCAAGACGAGCGGGACCAATGATTGGCTTTCACCTCGCTTACTCAGAGACACATGTCCATGTCCTCGAGTACAAACAAAACGCACGATATCGCATCTCGTGCATCACGACGTAATCGGTGACATGGCGACGCACGTTCATGTTTTCATCTTGGGCATGAACCGTGGATATCGGCGTTTTTGCTCGACACGGAAGACTCAGCCTACGCTAGGCGAGGCCTTCGCTGTCGCTCTGCGCGAAGACTACAGTGTGATAGCATCCTGCGCGTTCATCGTCTCTCGGGCATCGGCGCCCGAACCGGAGGGTCTCTGCTAGTAGCCGTGTAATCTCGCTATGATGAGTCTCTACCGTGAACCACGGATTCAAAGCAACAGGGGTAAGAAGCTGTAGTATGTATAAAACACGATTTGTTTTACGCGCAAGTGGCAGCTAGCTCTATTGTCCGCCAGCTGAAATAACTCGAGCGTAGATGCGCCATTCTAGCTTCGCGCGCAAATTGCCCAGGAGCCAAAAATAAACACGAAGAAGCTACGTGCGTGTTTCGAGCTACTGCTTTTGTATTCAATTCTAGCTTTCTTATATATATCTTCAGGCCGCCAAATTACTCAAGTCGGCAGGGCTACGGTGGTGGGTGTTGCGGCTATTGTTGGATTGAGCCGGTGCATACTCCACCGCTGAAAGAAAGATGCAGACCTCATCACCGCGTCGCGCCTCAGCCAATGGTTCACCTGTCCACCTTCAATTGAGTGCGCTGAAATATATTTTAATTGAATGAGTGTTAAAAGTTTACGTGCTCGGATGCATTGTACATATGCGCCCAAACAGATAATTTTGTGTGTCTTCCAACTGCTTGCTTTAATGCGCTGCAGATTTGAGCCTGATCTTTTTAATGATGGCTACTGCTTTTATGGGTTATGTTTTACCTTGGGGACAAATGAGTTTTTGGGGTGCAACTGTTATTACTAATTTATTTTCTGCAATCCCTTTAATAGGTAAAGATATTGTTGATTGGTTGTGGAGAGGTTTTGCTGTTGATAATCCAACATTAAATCGTTTTTTTAGTTTACATTTTACTCTTCCTTTTATAATAGTAGGTGCTGTATTAGTTCACTTAATTTTATTACATGAAGTTGGTTCTAATAATCCATTAGGTATTACATTAAAAACTGAAAATATACCTTTTTACCCTTATTTTTATACAAAAGATTTATTCGGTTTAATGGTTTTATTTTTAGTTTTCTTTATTTTTGTTTTTTATTATCCAAATACTTTAGGTCATCCAGATAATTATATTGAAGCAAATCCAATGAAAACACCTTTACATATTGTTCCTGAATGGTATTTCTTACCTTTTTATGCAATTTTAAGATCTATTCCTAATAAAATTGGTGGAGTTGTTGCAATGTTCGGTTCATTAATAATTTTATTAACTATACCTTTTACAAACTCATCTGAAATTAGAAGTACAGCTTTTAGACCTATTTTTAAAGTTTGTTATTGGTTATTAGTTATAGCTTTCTTAATATTAGGTTGGATTGGACAATGTCCAGTTGAATATCCTTATACTGAAATTGGTATTATAAGTATGATTTATTATTTTTTTTTTTTTATCATAATTATACCATTTTTAGGTAAATTTGAAGCATATTTAGTACGTTATAGTATTAATAAATAATTTAATTTTATTTCTAAGTAATTTATTATTATATTACTTAGAAATAAAATTAACAACATTAATTTAATTAAATATATCAAATTAAAATTATGCATAATAAAAAAAAATATTAAACAATATTTTTTTTATTATTTTTTTTTATTTAGTAATAAAATTATTAGTAAAATCGATAGCTAAAGTATTTAATTTTTTATCTAATTCTTTTGAAATTTCTTTTTTTGTTAAAATTTCTTCTAAAATATCAGAATGATTATTTTGAATAAAGTTTAACCAATTAGTTTCAAAAATCGAAATTTTATCTACAGCAATTTTATCTAAGAAACCTCGTACACCTAAATAAATAATTACAATTTGATCTTCAACAGATAAAGGTATATTTAAACCTTGTTTTAACATTTCTGTTAATCTAACCCCTCTATTTAATTGTTGTTGAGTAGTTGTCGGAGGCGTTGGCAACCGGCGTCGAACAGCAGTGGCACTCAAGGCGAGCGTCCCCTACACTGCCCTTGACGCTCGGAAAGTCTCTAGGGATGACAAGCAAAGCCTGCTCTCTGTAATAAAAAGGAGAAAG